TTCACATTTTTCATATGTCTTATTGGTTTTCAGATACCTTTTAGATTTAGATATACATGTACAATAACAATAAAATAAACAATTCATAAGATTTTTTATGTATACAATAACAATAAAACAATTTTTAAAATTTTAGATATAAAATAACAATAAAACAAACAATTTTAAAGATTTATACAATTATACAATAACAGCAACACAAACAATCTTAAAGATTTTAGATATAAACAACAATAAAGGTTAGCCAACAATTTTAAATATTTTAGGCATAAAATAACAATCAAACAAAGTTTAATAGTTTTTAAGATATTTTATATAAAATAACAATATAACAAAAAAACCATCTTTAAAATTTAAAGATTCGAATTAATAAACAATTGTTACAGCAGAATCGTTATGGTCGTTGCTACATTTGAAACATTTGTTACATTATTAGTTTCCTTGTATTAGATATTGTCAATGTCATATGGATCCACCTCATTTCAAAGGTATATCTATTAATTATATCTACGATACACAAGATTTAATCCGAATATTGAATTTATTTTGATAAATATCATTTATATTAAGAAAATTAGGTGCCTGTAGAAATACTTCAAAAGTACCAGTTGATGTATACGCAAAACAAATGCATAAAACGTAACAATCTTATTACACATCAAATATGCAATCGATTAAATATTATTGAATCAAAAACCATTTGATCATTAAAAGTATATCAAAAGAAAATAGATACACAATTATTACATGTTATTTTGTCAGACTTTAAGTTTGAATTAGTCGTAGTCGTAGTATTTCACTACAATCGTTCAATATTTCTTCATGGTATGACTGTACGTGTCTCCTCCATTAAACTGGCACTTTTTATTTCTTGTATCAACATCATCGTTTTCACCTTCAACATTGTTAAGAACACCGTATACGTTGTCACTTTTGACTTTCTTAACTAGTCTACTACCCGTATGAATATATGTGTTTTCTGTCGCATCGTCACCTATATTCTTATCGTGCTGAGCTTTCGTTTTCATGGCTACTTTCTCAGTTGTATCGTACGTTTTTCCAGATTCATTACTCCCATTGTTGTTTCCATTTGAGTTCAGTGTGTTATAAACATTGCTTGTTTCTGTTTTCGTATTTTTTTCAATGTTATCATCGGTCTTTGATTCCCATGTATGTTTTTCAAAGATAAGGTAGGTGTGTCCGCTTATGACATTATCAGTTCGTTCATGATCAGAGCAACGTTCTGATGGGAGTCCTAAATCATCAATTTGATCATAAGGAGAACATAAAGACATTTCGTAGGCATGCTTATCATTTTTAAAGTTGGGATGTAATTCCTTGGAAATATATGCAGAACATTTAGATTCGGGTTTTCTGAAACACTTCATTTGAATTTTCCTCCTGAAAAAAGCAACAAAGTATTTTTTACAAAAAGCATGTTTTCTATTTTATAACTATTTTGGTTTTGCTTATGTGAAATGTTCTCCATATTTAAAACTACACACACTTATTTAAGAGCTTGTGTTAAGAGATTTTAAAAATAGACAAACATCGCATTTCAAATTGGATTTGATGACATGTTTGCGTTGAAAGAAATTAAAATTATAATGGTTTTAACCAAAACGAAAAAAAGAGATGTAAACTTAAATGAAACTTTTGAGAATATAACAGTTTATAGAAATATAAGTACTTCCAACATCAATGTAATTATAAAAGTATACTACCGTCTCTTTAATATCACAATGATAATAACGCTTGCGACGACACTAATAACAGTAACCGAAATTCCCACAGACACTCCAACATATGAAAAAGTGCAAATGACATACAGTTAATCTGTTCTGATTTAAATAAGATAAGACTTTTAATTAAGTAAGACTGACGTACTTAGATAACTTACTTGTATAATTGTATACTTGTTCAATCGCATATTGGCATCTCTGTTATTTATTTAAATTCGAACCCCTATGTTCCATTACTTAAATTGTGTTTATATTTTCATAATGAAAATATAATTGTGTACATGCAGACCTATATTGAAAATTGTCTTGTTGTTTATGAACTCTCAACATGTACTCCTTACACTATTTAATATTTTAATTTCTGTCTGTAAGTTCTTTTCTATAGGGAAATACCTCAAAATCATTTTTAAATGGCAAAGGGTAAAACCACCAACGTTCTCTCAGTTTTCTTGGACAGCTTTCTCATATATAACACAAACCAAAGTTCCTGGCAAACAGCAGCGAGTTGCAAATGATTTTAATACAATAACAGTAGCAACTCGGTCATTGACGCCCCCTAAACGTTTTTACATTTGATGATGACGTATGCTTTAACAAAGAAACCATAGAAGTTGAGCTATTTTTGTCTGAAAGCGTATTATGCGTTTTTATTGTTGTTTGACTATAATTATTTTGAACAACACTGCTTTAATTAATATCGATAGAAATATGTTGTTGATCACTCGTTTTGGGAAACCATTTTCTTCTTTCTCAACATATTGTAAACTTCAAATACAGTTCTTGGCACAAAATCAACAAGTCATAATGAATTGGTGTCATCCACTAGTCAAATACCACATAAAAATACTACGCGAAGCAGTGTCAAACCTAACAACGACGCCATGAGTAATAAAGTCACATTGCAAGGTAAGTAAACTACGATAAAACTAACTTTTTATAATGTACATAATAAGGTTATTTAGTTTCGATATCAAATGGACTGCATTGATGTGTTTTGTTGCATTTTAAGTACAACCGTAAAAGAAGTTTAATATTCTACATTAAAAAAACAAAACCGTTAACCTAAAATTAATCTATTGCAGAAATATTGATCAAAACCTATGATTCCCCAAACCCTTCCACAGGGAAATTTGAACATTTAACATTTTCCCTTTTAAAAGAACAAAATGACTTTGTATCAAAAGAAGGACAACTCCCATACCGTAAATCTGTTTTTTAAAACAGTTTTTAATAGTTTTTTAAAGGGCTTTTATTTTATTAAGAACGTCAATTCATTTGTTGAAACATTCAGATTTTAAAATGTTTAGAGCCTTTTTGGTACAATATGTTTCTCGTTATAGTTCTATGTATGTAACTATATAAAATAAACTGTTGTCACTATTGTATGCTAACAATAACGACATATTACATATAAATGCTTTCATCATGTATACTTTTCAAGAGTCATCGGAAAACACTCCCATGCAAAAAGCTGGCACTCTTTTTGAAGGCTTTGATTGATTGTTTGTTTGATGACGAATAATTGTTTTATTTGAATTAAACTAATTCAAAAACACTTAACATTTTCTTTTTTTCAGTTGTCGATGTTTATTCGATGCTTTGTTTTACTTCATGAATTTGGATAAGGAACTGAAAAATAAATTTTGTTTTAGCGTTAGATGTTGCACCTGTCATTTTCTCTATTTAATATTCTTTCTTATAACCAGTGATCCTTTGCGATCATTGATTCCAACATTTTCTAAAGTTTAACACTGAGTACCGCTAAAATCGGTGCTTTGCTAGGAAACATGATCGATGTTGCACTTTTTTATTATCCCTCATGTGTGTGCTCAATGAAACCGAGTCTGCAATTTTCATGTTATTTCATTTTGTTGTTTTTGAATTAAATGCTTTTTTACCAGTTTCTTATATTTTAAGACTATTCATAAACAGCAAAAGCAAATAACCATATAGCAAATGATACTCAGTTATTTCTATATAGCTTGTTCATCAATATTCAGAAATGTTTTTCTTTGCCATAATTTAGATATCTTTTATATAAAAGATAGAGAAATATAGTTACATAAATTTGCTAATATGTTGACAGCTATAATTGTGTATTAATATTACAAAAGATCAAATGTTTGATAAATAGTTTGTTTTGCTGTATATTTTGCTTTTGTAAAAAATGTGTATGATGTTTTTAATAGCATTATAAATGTTTTATGTTTTTTGACGTAATTTAGTATTTTTATGTAAATAGTGCTTTTAACAAAGGAAATTTTGCAATTTCGTTTACGATAAGTGGTTCGATGAATTGAATATGCTATTTGTGAACAGTAAACATTGATTTTCATTATAATATATTTTGCTGTTCTATGTGAGAATATTGATTTTCTCAATAAATTTTATGCTTATATCATATATTTAAACAATATTTGCCGCATTAACCATGACACAGGATTGTTATAAACCCTTTTAATAAAAACAATCACACTTTCGTATGAAAAAACATTAAATAAAATGCTATATACAAATATAGCGCGATAGGCGCGCCACTGAAAAATGACTACGTTAGATGTAAACCGTTCTTATGTTGGATATGTAAATAAAATACTATATTTGTGTAGATTCAATACTAATTCAATATGCATGGGACTTGCCTAATATGATTTTGATAATTTCTATGTAAAAGACCTGTTCAATGTCATTATTTTAGTAAGCAGAGGGATTTTATCTTACCTTTAAACTTTTTTTTATTAAATTAGAGATATATTTTACTTAAGACAAAAAGCGTGGAAAGATCTGATATGCTCAATTTGTCACGAAAATTGAATTCTACACGAAAATGTTTTATTTACAATAGTTTATTGAATAGTGTAGTTATTTGTATCGTTTATTATTTTAGACATAGCAAATATAACGAATGCTAGAAAAAAAGTTTGATATTTGCTCAATTTCTTAACCTTAATGTTGAGGTTTTGTGCTGATAATGAATAGTCACAATATAACTTTCCACTATCGTGCATTTCAAATAAAAAACAATAGAAATGCATCATGTAATATATTGTCACGAAACTCACTGAATTACCTCGATGAATATGCAGCTACAACGAAGATAAAGAGAAATTAAAATGCAGGAAGCGTTCATTCTAGGTTTGGCAGATTAAAGCATTCTTTTTTATAAATCTTTTTAATCATTTTGAAGACTGTCTGGTGAGACATTAAGATATACGTGATGACTTTTGCGAAACGTTAACACTGAAAAAGACACCAAAGTATGAAAATGAAAACATTTATTGGGTTAAAAAAGATTCTTTACGATTTAAAAAAACTTAAAGAATAAATTTTGTAAAATATAAAAAATGTGACATTGTAAAAACATTTTGTTAACAGACTTTGTCTTAAAGCTAATATAAATATGCATAACGGAAATACAGACTTGGAGGTCGACATCCGTAACTAAATTTATCTCATGTAGATTATATATCCCTGTTCACTACGTCTACAACGTACATAACTTATGATTATACTTAATTGAAAGCTTTCATTTACAAAGTGCCATACGCATGTTGTTTCGCTCTTGTTCATATCTAGTATCTGTAATAATGACTTTCAATGTTTGCATCAGTGTTGGATGCCTCTGCATGTGTTTCTAATTCAGAATACGTATGTTCGTTATTTCCATGAATGGCATTATAATCAGTGTAGGTCGTTGAAGGAAGTTCTATCCCACTAACTTGACCCTGATTTAATCCTAAAGAAGCGTAGTCATGTTGATCAACTCGGTGAATTTCTGGTGTGGCATATTCTGAAGAATCAGATTGAACATTTCTGAAACATGTGGGTGGGATTTTGCCACTGAAAAGGAAAATAAATTCTTTCAATACGTTATTTAGATTGAATCTGTATCACAAGTTTGTTAATACCCCTTTTTATTTGTGTTCATCATTTAAACTTAACTGGTTAGTTCATGTTTACATTCATTAATATATTTTTTTCATTTTCATTAATAACAGTTTCTGTATAATAGTAAAAACAAAAACTTCCTATGTCATCACATAGACACATACAATTTACAATGGTTTGATTAAAATTTTCACTTTAGAAAATTATAATTGTCTTTTAATATATTTGCTAAACATGTAAAATAGGCAAGTATTCATAGAAATACAATACCGTCTCTTTAATACGACGAGTACCACAACTAGCACAACGACAGTGACAGCAATAGACGAAACACCTACCGGAACGATTATAGAGGAGCCTGAAAACACAATTTACTATGGATAGACTAGACTATTATTCATTCAGTTTAGTCGATAAAAGGAAGTTGTATCTTGGATCAGGTTATACTTTACGGGTCCAAGCGATTTTTATGCAAATGAAGTTCAGAAAAGTGCCTTCAGTCTGTGACCATACGTTAGTTTTTGTTTTATTTTAGTATACATGTGCCCCTATGTTTCCTTATACAAAGTTATGGAGCCACACAATACCTTCGTTTTAAGCAGGATTTGAGATAAATAAACATCTTAATGACATATAATGACATGACGACATCAATAAATAAAACAGCAAGGTTCGTTGAAATATACTCAAGTCATTTTGTTGTTTACAACTTTAATGTATATTATTAATAAGTAAAATACAGTGTTGTTTTTAGCACCAGATCTGAACTTTGAATAGCTATAGCAGTAGACTAAGACCTTAAATTAACCAAAGTTAACGCCGAATGAATGATTTTTAAGTTCGTATGACGACAATGAGTTGTTTTTCACATTAACGTCAATGTTTACTATAGTATCTACGGAGCCCCTAAGGTGACATTTTCAACACTTTTTTTCCGGAACTTAATTCGTTTTACGAAATAATAATTCGTAATTACGAAATAATAATTCGTTTTTACGAAATATTAATTTGTAATTACGAAATATTAATTTGTTTTTACGGAATATTAATTCTTTTATACGAAATGTTAATTCGTCATTACGAAATATTAATTCGTTTTTACGAAATATTATTCCGTATTAACGGAATATAATTTTGTAATTACGAAATAATAATTCGTAAATACGAAATAATATTTCGTAAAAACGAATTAAATCTTTTTAGGGTTTCAAAAAGTTTTGGAAATAGTTATAAATAAGGCCTCAAAACTTAGTTCCTGACTGAAAAAAATAAGGCATGTAATATAAATTTTTGTTTTCCCCAAGTTTTGTTAACTTAACACTATCATGGTATATAAACTAGAACAGTCGCGTTGAGCCACAGTCGTGATAGTACACGCGCTAGGAAAATTTAGTTAAGAACACGGACATGGTTTTCTTTTTCGTTTTGTCCAAATTATTGAGTTTTGAAATGAAATATTATGTTTTTATGATCGCACGGTACCCATACATTAAATGTAAGGAATTATTCGTTTTAAATTGATTGATTAGTGAAAGGCCGGAGACCCCCCCCCCCCCATTTAGTTTTACTAATGTACGAATATATGATAAAAGAAAGGAATAATATAGCATGTTTCTGTTTTTCTGATTAATTGCCACAAATACTAAAACATTGCTGATAGGAATATGTTTTTGACAATGGGGAAAAGAGGCCATTTTGGATAGAGAATGACTTCCCACTCAAATAACCCAGTTCACTTAAATATAATAATTTTGAGTACCATTCGGCTCATAATCGCAAGGTTGATATAGGCTTGTAAATGACCCATAAGTGAGATTAGTAGGTTCTTTGTCAAGCTCACAATGACCTTAAATAAGATTTCGTAAAAACGAATTATATTTCGTAATTACGAAATAAGATTTCGTTTTTACGAATTAATATTTAGTAATTACGAAATAATATTTCGTAAATACAAATTAATATTTCGTAAAAACGAATTGATATTTCGTAAAAACGAATTATTATTTCGCAATTATGAAATAACATTTCGTAAAAAAGAATTAATATTTTGTAAAAACGAATTAATATTTCGTAAAAACGAATTAATTTTTCGTAAAAACGAGAATGTCACCTTAGGGGCTGCGTAAGTATCATCACATAAGTTGCAAAATATATCGACATGTAAGTCAGCTACAATAAACAAAACTGAACAAAATAAACCTTCATTAAACCCGAAAGTCGTCCCAAGGAATGTATTTTAATAAAAAAAATATCAAGCCAGGTAAAATAATTACAAAATCGAACGACATAACAACACTTTCAACAAAATATCAGTTCATTAAATGTTATTATGATAGATGCTACAGCCGAAAGATATGCATTTTAATATTCATAAATGAATAACCTATGTCTAAATATTAACACAAGAAAGAAAATGTTCTATCATTTCGTAAATTATAAAGGTAATTTTACTTTGACCCATCTGTGATTCCTTAATCGGAACGCTCGTTGTCTCTGATGCGAATGACCCTATGGAGGTTTTCGATGCTGATGATTCACGAGATACGGATGTTGATGATTCACGAGATACGGATGTTGATGATTCTTTTACATCAGCTAAATTTCAAACATATCACAATATGGACTTCATATCATTTTAAAACAAAATAGAATAATTCTGAAGCATTACTGTAGTTTCGCTTTAACAATATTTTATGTTTGATGATAGCTTAACAATCCAAAATTGCGTGTACCGAATATGGTTAAAGGTCAATTATACATTTACACTGGTCTTGTCATTCACATTCACACGAAATCGTGCTTTATCGCTGTAACGCATAATTGAAATACAGTTTGTTGTAATTTGATTAACAGCTTAGCAAATAAAAAGAACATTTTAATAAATTTCTTCTCATCACATTTTATATCATAAAAATTATATAACATGTATAACTCCCGTAATCCTTTCATTTTAATGTACTCACGTGATTCAAAAAGGGTTCGTTTAGCTACATTACCGTCTTCTGTAAAAAGCATATTTACATGTTCACCTTGTCTTTTAAGATAGCCGTATGATATGTTCATTGTTGTGTTGAATTCTGTTATGAAAATATATAAAGTGATAATCATATCATTCTAAAAAATATTGTCAACTACCATATGATTTTATTTTGACCAAAGAATGATTTGTGTCTTTCTATAAAATTAAAAAATACTGCCAGGTTGTTTTTATATTAAAATGAGAAATGATTATAATTATTTCAGAAGCTATAAATCATTTATGATGGTGCCGGATTGGATGGCCTTAGATGCACACTTATATTACTCTTAGTGAATAAACATGAATTTAACAGAAGTGAATGACGGTACGATCAATTTGTATAAAAAATATGAAAGGACTTTGTCAAATAGTTTTTCATTAGTCGATCATTCGATCGCGTGTATTCGTACAAATGATCATATGATAAAATATGTAACAAAAAATGATAAGATTAAAAAACAAATGTTATCAACTATAAAACTATTGCGATTTAAGTCATTTTCTGTTTTTAAGGAAATCAAAAATTTCATTTGCAGATGCATTGAGTAGTACTGAACAAAACATGATTATACTAAACAGACGCCTGCTTTACCTGCTATACATACGAGTATGTTTGAACTGCAATTTTCTAATCATTAAAGCAAAATCGATACAGAAATCGTTTATAATTGATCAGCCAAGTCTATTTATATATACAATTATCTTCTTGTTGGAAAATGTTTGCCACGATGTTTTAATGAACATACAAACACACCTCTGAACCCATAAATTACAGTGCTTTGTGTAAGACGTGTCCATGTTAAGCTTGTTGCAAGCTCGTAAAGTTGATGTGGTCTGTTTTGGACATCTTCCAAAGTGATTGGGTAACAGATGTTTTTAAAACACTGCTTGATATATGATGCCCATGAAAGTAACGATTGTTGTCCTGCGAAACCACTTATGTATGTTCCATCTTAGAATTAAAAAAAGATGCAAACAATGTTATTGCTTTACAAGTTTTCATTTTCACAGTCCATATGAGTTCGTATACAATATAAATTGTACTCAAATGAACAAAGTACTGCAAAGTATATATTTGCAAATAATTGAAGCAGTGAATATAGGTTATGATACTGATTATATTGGACTTATACAGAACTAATTCTATTGGATTCTTAAAAAAAACTGATTCTGATTCCATTGGACTCGTACACAGTTTAAAAAAATTGGATTCGACTTGCGCCTTTCCCAGTATTGGTCAGTCTGGTTCAAACAGCACATATTTAATGCTTTTTAATTACTGGTAGTCACCAATAACCTTCCTTCTCATGACCTTTCAATCAGCCATTCAGTAGCCGCTAGATTGCATTCTTGAAAGTGTATCAGTATCTCCTATTAACAGTTGGAGAGAGAAAAAAGTGTTTTCATGATTTCTAGACATTACGAATACATATACATACATCATATTTTTTTAAAGATGCATGCCTCCAGATGAGCTAAAATATTTTAAGACAATACAACTTTGGAAAGATAACTAAGATTGTAAGAATGATAAAAAGATTCAAAATTCAAGTACTATCTTATGTGCTGCGAATGACTGATTTTGCAGTATTGATTATCATATTTCTACTGCTGCGTTACTAACGCAGTAAGGGATATTTATGCATATTTTGCCCTCTTTTTGGTAATTTAAAATAATTATTGTAAGTACCGTTTGCAATGTGTTAATTTACTTTCTTTGATCATTTCACAATATGTTATTTTTAAATACAGTTTCAAAATTTTCTTGAAAATAAGGATAAATGTGGAGGCGTGCTGCTTTAAATATATAACCTGAAATTGATGCTCAGATACGAACAATGATAGAATCTTATGTTCCTCAGTTCCAAGTAAATTTCTTTTTGTAACGTAAAATTAACGACTTGTCCGACTTTGTGGATGTTGATTATTTTGTAAAACTGCTTCTATGTAATGGATGTTTTGATTGGTTGGCAAAGCTTTATCGGAAAAAATGACAGGCAGGTGGGAACTAATTGTTAATAGATATATTGAATTTTTCGCATGAATTGGAATAATACTGAAAGTTGCTAAGCATATTTACTTTTTGTTTTGCAGACACTTTTATATGGTAAACTACAGGATTGCCAAAACGTTTCACTGTATTTATCAAAAGCCAAACATTTTTTATCACTTGTAACCGCAGGTCCAAATATATCTGAAATAAGATTAATGAATGTTAGTTGCTAAAGTAACAAAGGGTAAACATAATATATGTTAAATAGGATTAAATGCACGAGTTAACAATAGCTATTCTGTCTGACACATGTTTATTTGAAGATGTAATGGTTAAGTATGAGGTTCTAATGTGCAGAAACTTATTCACGAAAGCCCACGGACAAAATAATAAAGATTCAGATTTTATTACAAAATACATGTGGGTATTATACCCAAGAGTACACAACATATATTCAAACATACATACAAACATACATACAAACATACATACAAACATACATACAAACATAAATACATAAAAACATACATACAGACAGACAGACATTAAATATGTACATATATTAAACATTTACTGCATATTTGAGACAAACGTTTGGTTAAATATTAACAGAATAATCATATTACAGCAAGGTTTTAACAAAGAACATGTTTTACATAATGCTATCAATTAAAAACCATTACATTTATCTTCCTAGGTAAATATAATTTACGAGTATTCAACATTTGTTCTTAATTCAAACATAAGATTATTAATTAAGATACACATTGATAATATTTTCATTTTGAGATGTTAACAGTTCAATAAATGTTAGTATATTTGGTTTTTTCCAAAAAATATTTAATATATAAACATTTTCTCCAAACATTGTACTGTGGACATTCTAATGATACATCTTCAATTTTGATTTCATTTCATTAAAAGGAATTGCTTCAGGTTTATGCCATCTACCAGTTTCTACTTTTAATCTATATGAAGCAGTACTAAAATGTGATTAAGATTTCCTGAACTTTTCAACACCCATACTTCATTGAAGATTGTAACAAAAACATAACAGACATCCCAGGACATTGAATTTAGTTTAAGTTCTAAATATGACACACACAACTTTGATATATTTTGTACTACTTAACGGAACATTTTTAACCAGTATTTTAAAACGTTAAAAGCTATCATTGTTGATGTCCTTCCTAGTTCACCATAGATAAAAGAAATTGTAATTGTGTTTCAACTCCTAACAACTGCTTACAATACTTGAAATATATATATTCTTGTTCAGTATTATCAAGAAATCCTTATATTTGTGATCCATAGTTAAAAAAAGGTAGAATAAGTTTATCAAATAGATTCAGTTTATTTTCAACTAACATACAAGCAAATCTCATTAGTGCTTTTTCAAGTTTATACAGTGCCTTCAATACTTGTCCAAAAAGTGTTTCAAAAGTCATATTAAAAGATCCGTCTACAGAAAAATCAATGCCTAGATATGTAAACAGTTTCGAAATTTCAAGTTATTAATCTTTACAATAAATATCATTGAAGTTATGTCTAAGTCTACCCCTTTTCTAAAAATCAAAACCTTTGTCTTTGCACAGTCCACCCATCACAACATATTTCAAATAATCATTTTTATAAGCCCTCCTTCAGACATAAAAATCACTTTATCATCTGCATATAACAATAAATAAAAATTCTTAAAAATACGCAAATCACTACTTTTATTCCCATTTAACATAAAATATTCTTTTACATCATTTAAATACATGGAAAATAAAAACGGCTAAAGGGATTCGCCTTGTCTTACTCCCAAGTAATATATATACTCTTCACTAATAGTAGTATTGTATTTTACTCTTGATCTAACTTTCCCATACATAGACCTAATTATATTTAACATTTAACCTTTCACTCCAAATTTTATTAATTTATACCACATAATAATCAAAGATTTAGTGAAATAAAAAAAACAACAGCAAAAAACAGCATACAACTTTTATTTATTATTACATAAATGTGTTATAATACCATATAGTACATTGTAGTATAAAGACATAATAAATAGTGCTCATGTTGTATTTTTCTTAATCCCGCCTGCCCACAATTTTTATTGTTCATTTATTACTTATGTAAAACGTTTCCTTAAAGATGCTAAGAAGAGTAATACCCTTATAATTGTTAGGGTCTATATCCAATTTTAATGAATAGGTACAATAAAACCTTCTGTCCAACTTGATGGAAAATAACCTATATCAAACGTTTGATTAAACAAAGAAACTATAACCTGTAAAATGTGACCAAACTTAAAACACTCATTTAGTAAATTATTAGGCCCAGCTGATTTACCAACATTTAACTATTTGCAAGCATTAATAATTTCAGTACCAGTGAAAGGAACATTAAGTTCTACCTATCGTTAAGATATAAAACATCTTCATCAGCTTGACAAAATACAGACTCCCAATCATTTATAGACTTAAATTATGTTTGAAAATCTCAAGTGGTTAGCTTACATTTATTATTTTCAGAAACAGAGCCTCTTAACATTTTCTAATATAACCTAGCATTACAAAGCCTAGCTTTTTTCTAATCAAATTACATTTATTATTGTACATATTTTCAAAATTCAACATATAATCAAGTAGAATTTTAAATATAGATTGATCATCAATATTTTCCCGACTACTACCTGTTGGGGTGTTATAAAATAAACAAGCAAATAAATCATTTTCAAAATTAAACAACCATATAAAAGACATACAGTCTAATTAATCTAAAATCTTATTTATGAGCTGAGTTCAAGGGAAATAAAACTGTTTGTAAATGTTGATATAAACATATTACATAGTTTTTAGTTGTAGAAATCCAAAAATGTAGATTTCCGGGGCAAACCGAAAGTTTGAGCATCTTTACGGAAAAGCATAGTGTACATGGAAGATGAAAGTGTTGATTTGACATAGTATATATTTCCGGTATCGCATGGGCGTAATCATGTCCACGGTTTTTACTTTATATTTTTTAAACCTTGCACGTGGAAACGCTTTGGAAATTGATATAAATCTTCAGCATAGAACATTTTTGTCGGTCATTTATTTGAAAATTATGTCAATATTTATGAATTTCTAAATAAAAGTGATATTTTTTTGTGAATAAGGGCATATTTTAATAAGTGGAATTATATTAATCCGAGGTTATATCACGACATGTAATCGCTCCGGGTTGATTTTGAATATTTCCAGAACTGATTTGGATTCATGGCACCGGATTGATTCCAGATAAAATGGATTCACTAGGTGAGAGAATATTAACAATAAACTAATTTACAGCTGTTCGTCTTCGAATATTTTACTTGCAACGAACATTGTAATGTTTAAGGATTTCATATACAATTTTATTAAGGTTTGTAAACGGTCTTTAATCAGTTGAAATCGAAAAGCAAATTTCACATGTAGTGAAGTATTGGTAAACACATCAAGTTGCAAAAAGTCATTATCTTTGATTTTTCATAATCATGTTATAGAAAAAAAAATTCAGCGACAAGTAATGTAATGTAAACATGTAGGGCATCAGATTGATTAATATTCAGGCAAAACAAGGCAACGGGCAGGTGTTTGGCTGAATCAGCCACCGAATTCTTACGTATAAGTTGAACAAAGGCTCATCACTATAATCTATCAATTTGTATGGGCTTAACAAATATATATTATATGTATAAAATTTCAAATATCTTCTTAACAGTGTCGTATAGCTGGTTGCACAGGCTAATGAGTCATACACGCTATATTAAAAAAGAATGACAAGTCAACATGTATATACATATATTAGGGTTTTTATTTCTTAATGTGCACTATGGAACATGACATGATTTATGAGTATTATAGTGCAGGAGATGCATACGGACTGACCTTATGTCAGGATGATTAATATATGTAACTCTAAAACGTGTGTATTTATATACATTATAAAATGTCCTTAGGACAGGTTGATATTATATATACTATTCTCAAATGTCAGAGTAGGGGAGTTCGACTTTGGTATTCCACTCGTTCACATGTGTGTTTGTATTTGTATATTAAAAGTATGTAACATCCGTGAGTTCTTCCTCCGTTATACGACAACGGTTGATTTGGCGCCTAAGACCAGCGATGTCGAAGCGACGATTTTGGATAGCGGGACACAACGAAGTACCTGTAACAGAAAATTAAAGGTGAGTGATCGTTAATATACCAGTAATTTGCTAATTTTGAAGATGTCAGATCAAGAAATAGCTACAATTTTTGAAAATTTGTCAGATAAATTGAACAATATTTCAACTATCATAGGTACACAGGGTTTATCAGAAATAGTACAAAATTTTGATGGAAATTCTAAATATTTTAATGACTGGATAAAATCTATAGAAAAATATGCTATTTTAAAAGGTTTGGATGATAATAAAATAAAATTAGTCGCATTTCAATCAAGTAAAGGGACTGTAAGCGATTTTATATGTAGATATTTGCGTGATAATCATCGTAATTCGTGGGAACAATTAAAAGAAGAAATAAGTACTAGATTTGGGGAAATTAAAGATTTACATCATGAATTTTATCTTTTGAGAAATTTAAAACAAGATTTGGGAGAAAGTGTTCAAATTTTTGGGGAAAAATTTATTAATTGTGCTGAAACCGCTTATGAAAATTATAAACTAGGAGATAATAGTTTAATTGAACTTCAGTTAATAGAATTGTTTACGGATAATTTAGCGCATAATTATTTAAAACTTAAACTTATGAGAGAAAAGCCAAAAACTTTACAAGAAGCAATTACTTGCGCAATGAATGAACAGAATTTCAGAGCTAGATTTTCTGCCAGAGTAAAATTTTCTAATTCTCAAAATCACGCAAAATATAATAATTACAGAGCAAATAATTGTAATCATTATTAATATATATATAGGGATGGCAACGAGTACTCGGTTAACCGAGTACTCGATCGAACGTCCGAATATCGGTTAACAAAATTGATATTCGATTACTCGGAAAAAAAATAAAATTTCTATTTATTTTAGATTTAATGAGATTGGTGTCCAATTAGTTTAGAAATTCGGAGATATACATGTATCTTCATAAATACCTGTAAAATGCAATAAAAACATCCTTGAAGAGGTGCGAAAATTATATCGTAAACATAACGAGTGATCAACAGTTTGACACGCGCATGGG